TGTATTTAGTAAAGAATTTTCTTTTCTTGAAAAGATTTACTGGAACTTTGTATTCTGTCAGTTTAATTGGCTCCTCAGCAAAACAAAATACAGAACAGCTTTACAGCAATCGTTGCGGAGATTGCTGTTTAGTACATTGTTTTCCTTTAGGTACAATAAATATAACACTTCCTGTCCTTGAAAATCTAATAAAGAAACGGTCCTTTAACCATCTTCTAAATGCCTGCTTCGGGGGGAACAGGGAGTGTGAGGAGAAGAAAAGCTTATTATGTCACTGTTGCCATCTCCCCTTTCCTTAGAATGCACATTAAGTATTCTATCTCCAGTTATAGTTTTGCTCCCATAAGGGGGCACCCTTGATTGCAGCCTGAGGGACATCAGGTGCATCACACTGATGAGCTGCTTCAAAATGCTTAACACAAGCACACTGCCAGCAAAGATGTGATGCTCTATGGTACTTGCATAAAGCTGGGAAGATGTTTGACACTGGTATCAGCCCCCACTTCGGTGTTATCGCATTTGAGTGTAGTGTCCATCAGGTAGCCATTTCTTTTTAAAAGGATAAAAGTGTGGCTGCTCTTGCACTTTTGCTTCTGAAGAAGAGATAGGGAAGAACCACCTATTTTAAACCTATACCCAGATTTCTGCAAAGTCGAAAGTTTTAATTGGAGTCAAAGTCTGGCTAACATGGGATAGCAAGCAATAGTAGCAAAGAATGGCTTTGGGCTTTTGTGTAGTTCCTTGCTCAAATCTGGATCCCAACTGATTTAACACTGACTGTGTCCAAACAGAGTAGCTGCTGCCCATCAGCCACCAGGACACAGAGTCTTGATCTGTGTCAGTCAGCCAGGGCAGGTGTCAATCAGAGCATGCTGCAGCAACCTTCCAGCCCATGAGAATGGTGTTGCTCTGCACAGGGACCAGAGCATAGATGGGGAGGAGAGACGGTTCATGTTTGTCTCTTTAGCTTCGTTTCAGAGAGCAGTTGGGTTGGACATAGCGCATACACAGAACTAGAAGACAGGAGGTGCTGTTGAGTTCTGAAATGAAGGCCCAGAACGCTCCAGATGGGAGAAAAACTGACATCCAGGTTAATCTGAGCTAAATTCAGATGAAGATGAAGATTCTGACTACAGGAGTGTGAGGCTCCAATCTAACACAGAAGCTGACTCAGATTTAATTATGAAGAAGGTTGATTTATACAGCTCCAAACGATTCTTAGGGGCTCAAGGAAACACCCATTAACTCTAGAAAGAAGATAAATACCAGCTACAATTCTCACTTGATAGTAAAGGAAGCTGAAACAGGGCTTTAAGTCCTCCTCTGAGTTTACATTTGCATAACTTTGGGCTGAAAGATTATGTGGACTCAGATCTGCAATTACAAAACGTCTGCTTAAGCTGCATAGGCAGTATGTATTTGTGGCTATATTTATGTTCAGGACTGAGGTACCAGAAAAATAAAAGAAAAAAAAAAAGACGATTCTGCCCATTACTTTACATTTCCTTTTTCAGGATAATAGTTCCAAAGACCAAGTATTCTCATCTAGTTTGTTACCTTGTATCTTCATGTATAGCAACAGTAATCTATTCCTTCGTAAGGTATCTCACACATAGGCTTACCGTCACCTCTAGGTATAACAAATCACTTTACATTTTTTTCTTTCTTTTTTTTTTTTTTTTAATAGCAACCTTTTCAAACATTGGAAGATGCATGCAAAGCACAATGGCTGTGAATCAATGCATATTGAGATGGTTCCTGTTCTCATTGCAGCCTTAGCTGTCACTGAGATTGTGCTTGCTCAGTGAGAGCAAAGACACTGTCAATCATACAGTGTGAATAGCATGTCAGGAAGACAGAAATTCTGGACCCGTAGTGGTTAAGACATGATCTTTCTCAGGTAACTCTTGGGAGTCATGACATGTTCTTAAGAGTTTACATCTAACAAGACAGCTGAGCCTCTGTGGAAAGCACCAAGCCATGGCTTTTGGTCAGATAGAGAGCAGCTTTTACGTAGGAACTAAAAACCAACTTCTATTTTATTTTCTGTGGATGCATACTGATGCTGTGGTCAGTCTTTAGTAGGTAATAGCTTTCAAGGAAAAAGCTTTGAATTTTCAAACTGTCTAAGCAGAGCAAAGTTACTATCCTTATCTAGCTGAAGTAATGTTACAAAGGGTTTACTGAAAGAATTCAAGGCCGTTATTCATCAATTTATTCATGCACACGCCTAATTAGAGGGAAAGTTTGTCTTGTGGTTAATGTGCTGAAACTGAGGCTTATGGTGCTTCACATCACTTCCTTTCCCCTACCACAGACTTCTCTGCAAACCTGAGGAAACTAGAGTGACATGACTTCCATCCCCGACCTCCCTGTCCAACAGTTCTTTTAAAAAACAGGCATCTCAGAAAGGGCCACTCCTTAAAAAGCAATGTGAGTTTTAAGTAAATATTAAACAAATAATGGGGATTACATACATATTTTGAACAGGCAGAATTTTAAGAAGACAAAAAACTTCTTAGCTTTTCCATCTGCCCTAATTCATCTGCAGACTGAAATCCGGTCTTTGGTAACTGAATTTCTTAATAGTAGGGACAGCAATAACTGTCATGATCAATACTTTATCTCTTGGCAATTGCTCCTCAGACTCTGAAGCATCATAACCCCTGATTTGACAGGTCTGTTAAACACTGAAGAATGAAATCTTGATAAAATTTACAGAAATTGTTTTGGTACAGGATATATAAAACCAACCTGATCTGTGACAGCTTTACTGTTTCACAGTAGCATAAAATTGCGATACAGAGATTGCGAAACAGGCTTTTCAGCTATACTTAGAAACAGGTCATCATGACAACATACATGCAGGTGAAGTATCTAATGAAGTCACAGGTAGCACAGCTCACTGAGGATTTTAGCTTCATATCACCTTTGTAAATACACACCCAACCCTGAGCACACACATTACCTGAGCATGTATAGTATAATCATATACAGTACTACTTTACTCTATGTTCGCTTTAACTTCTCTTCTAGAGCAGTTCTAATGTATAATTCAATCATTTTTTGTTCATGTTAGCATCTCAGTTCAGAGATTTTCAAGTATTTATTTCCTATCAATTTTGTGTTACTGGTTTCAACAGACATTTAGAATAAAGAACACAACACTGAAGTGACTGAAGTCACTCGGACTGTCCATGTCTTTGTTTTCCATAGAAAATATTTTGCATGAGACTGGTACTGAATCAGTGCTGAGACACACTTGAACTCTTGAGCACACATACCATGATGAGCAGCTGTGAAGGTCCCTATCTGCCTGGGAAAGCCTGTAGGAATCTAAAAACCAAGCACCCTGTGTTGCATTGGCATTATACTCTTTCGCAGCACTTAAAGTTAGTTAACATGAACTACATAGACTTAACTTCTGTCAGAAAATGCCAATAGCCAATACTTGTCACAGTTCCATTACTTGGGTAACTTAGCCTTCAGCAATTGAAGCTTCATTCCCAACTATTAATTTACAGGAGCCAGTCACATCTACAGAGTGACATAATCAATATATAAAAATATGCATTGAAATACAAATGAAATTTAGTCTAATTTAGGGAGCCTCCAATACAGTTACAACCATCACAACCCTTTAATAAGGCTTTTTGATGGGTTTTGTGTGTTTGCAGTACTTTTTAACATAAACAAAACGTCTGCACCAGAAATGTGTTGGGGCCTCAATTTCAGTACATAGCTGTGTGGCAGCAGCAAGGCCTCCTCTGGCAAAAGGGGAACTGAAGCAGAGCTTCTTTCAGTAAAAATAGCAGCACCAGAAGCTGAAGTTCACTTTGTACTGCGTTTTGGCAGTTCTGCTTCATGCTCTGTTTATCTGGGAGAGTAACATATTCTCACACCTATCACCTATGTTTGAAGTTACTTTATAATAGCAAACATCACTCACAGTGGGTCTCTGCCAATGGTTTATTGCATTTATTCCATGTTAGGTAACTTAAGAGTGCTTGTCACCAAAATGACTTTAAAGTTTGTCTGTTAAGTTATAATTGCCCTCATGTTTCATAACCAGATACTTTTGTATAGTTATCAGACACACTGTTGATCTTTAAAAGCACATCATTGTAGTCACAAATTTCTACCAGCATAATAACTGCAAAAATATGATCCACTGTACTTTGAAAACTAACAAATAGGACAAGCATTAAGACACAAACTTGAATCATGACACAGACAGATGAAAAATAGCTAGCATATATTGTTGCATCAAATAAGGAAACCTGATTTAGGAGCAGAAACTGTAAAGATGGTGGCATTTAAGATTTAAGCAACTTGGTTAATGTATACAGGAAATTGTTCATTTGCCATAAAAATAAACAACAAAAAAATACATCTACCGCTCCCCTAAGTATGGGCAGGTCTAGATTTCTGCATTACAGTTCTTCCAGGTGGCAGTTATTATGCTTGTGTTCATGTGCATATCATTTTTTGTTTGATTTGATAGGAAATATTTTAATAAGTCAAAATTGGAAAACAACCACATGCTCACTAGAGAGAAAACAGCTCTCTCCTTTTGCTTGCTTACACATTTCTCTTACTTGCCATCCACCTTTTGACTGCTTGGTTTATCCCTGTATAGTTCACATATAGGTTAGGCACAACAGTGGCTAATACTGAAGAAACCAAACACTTTCACCTGCCTGGGACAATATGCTTACATCCTTAGGAGCAAAAGAGGAAGTAAATTAGACATAGAGGTAGAACATATTGTTTTCAATTGGAGGGGGTAAACTTAAGGCTCTTTTTTTTTTCTGATCAAAACCTGCTCTCTTTCTTACATGCAAACATGTGAAGAAAAAAAAAAAAAAAAGAAGCTTGTTTTCTTTTTGAAAGAAAAGGAAATGAAGGTCAAAGGGAGCATAAAATCAGTCCACAATGGAAAGGCCGCTCATTACCTTGCTTAAAAATAGAACCCAAAATAAAAAGCAGTGACTACTTACTAGATGCAAAAGAAACAGCACCAGCCTGTACCTTCCAAAAGAGCTTTATCCAGGCTTCTTGAGAATATAAAAAGTCCTCCTGAAAAAAAAACAACTCACTCAAAAAGGCTCCTATTTCAAAGAGGCAAGAGCAAAAAGTTGCAGCAAAGCAACCCAGGCTCAGCTGTAGATAATTTTGGCAAGAGGGAAGAGTTTGTCCTTTACCAGGTGGCTACATACAAAGTAACGTGGTGTGACCCTCACATGGGAGGGAAACAAAAAATAAGGGAGGGATTTTTCTAGTAAGTCTTGGACTGAAATAAAATGCAGGCCACTTTTTCTTGCAGATGGTAGATGGCACTTTGGGGTTAATGTCTGTATAGAATCATATGATGAGGAATTAGATTAGAGAAAATGATCTCTCCTCAGCTATTTTTGAAAATTCTGTATTGTTATTAGAGATTTTCAGAAATCTCTAGAGCCTGTGTTCTGCTAATTCACATTGTACAAACCTGGTTTTTCAATAGGTTCTCATCTGTGCTCACATAATGCTCTCATTTCTCCATTTTGCTCACAAATTTTGCACTCCTCTAATGCAGTGAGATGCAGGCAATGACATATTTGCAACTGCATTATGTGCTCTAGGCTGGCAACAATGAGAGCTAGTCAGAGAATTATCACCCTTGAAAAAAACCATTCTGTCCTGTCCAAGACTATTCTATCGATTTTTCTCAACATAAAGGCAGGAGTCTGGTATATCAAATGGGGAAGGAAGGAAAAAGCTTATTAGTGTTCTGAATCTGTGTTCTCCCAAAGGAAATTCTAACTACCAGGTACTCATCTGATTCTTATAATACAATTTGCTTGCTGATGAAAGCTGTCCATTAATGAAAAATAAATATATGTGGACAATGTTGTTCTCCCCTGGTATAATTGAAATCTTAAAATATCTGAGATAGGTAGATTTGTAATGGTCTCAGAACAATTTCAAAGGCAAAAGCCTTACTTCTTGTCCCATATGCAGCTGCCTAGTTGCCCATTTTACTGATTATGTATCTTGTATCATGTGGCATTATGCAATCATGTGGCAGTAATGAGAACTTACTGTGGAATATAATTGAAAGATGAAGCAGCATATTTATGACAGCATTGATTTCTATACCTAACTAATGAGGCAAATCTTGAAAATAAGGTTGGTTGATTTACTTAATATTGAAATCCTTGCCAATTTCCAATGTACTATCATGTACAAGCATATTAATTTAAACCTTAAAGAAACTCAAATAGCTGATGTATTATTTCTTCCATGCATATGTTTTTGAGTATTTGAATATCTCTACATCAAAAAAAAAACTAGATTTTTAGGGAGCTAGGTAGCTTGCACTGCCAAGTTAACAAGTTCTAGTAAGGACAGTCTCTCACAATAAATCTAATTGTTACACAGCTATTTTCTTTATATATGCAGTTTTCACCGTATGCTGTAAGATGGAAAAGGTAGTGGAAGCATGCTCTTCTGCTGGATTTGTTGGTGATAGGCATTCTTGTTCTCTCAGAATGGGGGGGGTGGTGTTGTGAGGGAAGCAGAGAACAGATGGACATTTTTCAGTTGGTGCTTGTATGACCTATTTAATCTGCATAATTAGAAATGGGAAAGTTGTCTATGATGCTGATGCTGACTTCACTTCTAGGTCTTTTTGAGCTCATTTAAAGTACACTAATGAGAAAAACATTTTACCTTTGGGCAGCAATCTGATTTGTCAGGAAATTCCTATTGCTATGATGGGTGGATAAGGAAAATTTGGAATAATACGATCCAGATGTTAAAGCTCCCATTTAGCAGCAATGCAGATGCATTATTTTATGGAATTGTCCAGATGGTGACCTTCCAGTATTAATAATAAATCAACACTGTGGGTTTCATCTATATGACTCGATTCCTATCCTTGTCCTCATTTACGTGACCAAAATATTCATGCATTTCATGTAGAGGGTAATAGTACTAAAATTAACAGTCTGGAAGACATAAAAATCAATAAAGAAATCGAAACAATTACTGCAAACAATATACACCAATTGATCTGATAACAGCATCACCTGAGGAAAGGTCATGATACCATTTTTTAAATCAATTAGCGTTTCATTTTGCAGCTAACATGACAGCAAAGTTCTGTTACAGATTTTTATTGGAAACTAGCTACTTTACTGAAGACGTGTGCCTCTTTTCAATTTTGGCTTTGGTACTTACATTCAGACTTTCAGTCTACTGAGAAAAAAAACAGCCCACAGTCCATGTAGACATTGGAGAGGGATCACGTTGGGTGACAGTAGCAAGACAGGCACCAGGCAGGCAACTTGGAGCCTTTGATGGCCTCCAGTGAAAGCCAAGAGACCTCAGGCTCATGGACAGGGCTATGTAGGGACCACTGACCTGTGTGATGCCAGAAGAGCACTGATGGAGCTCTTTCACGTTTATGGTCACAGGCAGCATACTCTGGTACCACAAAGGAAGGGCTGCAGGGTGGAGAAATGCGTTATAGCTATGTGATCTGATAATAATGTGTTACTATCTTTTGCAGTTGTTTCTGTTACCTTATATAAACTTACTTTGTGAAATGTCAGTTTCCTCAATAGTTTCATGCTTTCTGAGGTTTGGGGGATTTTTTTTAAGAGTTTCTCCTTTTTCTTAGAAGAAGAATCCAGTCCTGCTTCCCTTCAAATCTGTTGCAACACTGTGTTAGGTTTTCAGGAAGGTCACATTCTTTCAGAGTTCTATTTATTGGGTTAAGGAAGGTGATTCATCTTCCATAGAAATAGCTTTTTACTCTAGATTGATTGTGCTTTTTATTTGCGTTTAACAAATCCCCTCACTCCAGACCAAATGTAAATTTGAAAACCATTTCCCCTCAGATATTTTTTTATAATATTTAGTAAACTTTCTGCAAGGATGCAGGAGCTAACTCTGCAAACACATATCAAAGCCAGTTTTGCTTTATCTTTGTCATCATCAGGTTTCCACAATTCCAAATCCATGGTTTATTAATGTGATCATGGAGAGAACCAAATTTTGACTCTTCAGTGGGTTTCAAATATTTGCTCATTGAAAAAGCTGTTGAATATTTCATCACTGTGGGCACTTCAAGCAAATATACATATCAAATTTGATATAATTTCATTTAGGAAAAAGGTTTAAAAGTTTAAGCCACAGCATTTTGTTGTGCTGAGGAAAAGCTTTCAAGAAAAACCTTCAGTAGTCTGGTCATGTAACTGAGCAGCATCCCAAATTAATGCTGTCAAATGTGCCCTTCTGAATGTTTCTAAGAGTTGTTCTAAGGTTTAAAGGCCAAACTGCCTCCACCAATTTCAGAAAACTTGCCCCCAAATCTTTAGTCCTGCAGTCGTCATAAATTGAGTTAGAAAACAAACCTGATGTTTTCTTTTTCAGTAGCATTAATTCTATCAGTAGACAGTTTAGTTTTTTGAGGATAGGATGTGGGGGTCTGATGAGTTGTATCCTAGTGTTATAAATACTTGCTGCAGTGGGATTACTGTTTAGTAACTAGGTACAAGGCAGGATAACGTTATTCTAGGGTCAAAAGCCCTCCTGTGTCAGATGCTGTACAAGTCACATTTTTAATTAGTTTTACAGTTTAGCAATCTGTTAATCAAACCTAACCATGCAAAATGAAGCTATAGGAAGTCATTACTTTGAAATGCCTGTCTCAATTCTGTCAACAGCTAGTCACACTGCTGCAGATGTGGGTTGTTCCTCTTTATTTCACCATCAGACTCTACTGGTGTAGATCCCTGTCCATCTGTGGAATGTTCTCAGTTATTCCAGTTTACATCACTTTGAGAGCAACCTGCAAGCCTTTCTTGGGAAGATCACAACAGTACATTCTTTTTTACTGTTTTTGCCTTAGTTTTGAGTGGGATTTTTTTTATATTGTTTTTAAAGGAAAGCTGTAGGAGAAGAGCAAATAAGAATCTCCCTGGAACAAATCTTAATAGATTACAAAAAGGGCCATTAGCAGTTATCAAACGTGACATGCAAATGAAAAAGACTTAAATAAGAGTTAAAATTAAATTAATTCCATCAGTTCTATTTCAGTTTTTCATGCTTCAGGCTCTTACCATCAGCAGTCATTCCAGATGTTATTTAGCCTGATAGCTCAATTTGGTGTACATACCAAATAGTCTGAATTTATTTATTAGATCCCCCTTTACTCCCCTAAAGAGAGGTCTCCTTCTCTCTCCAGTCTTCTGAAACTCTGCCTCTCTACCCTGAACTCACAAAGACAATTATTAATGCTTCAGATGCTGTTTCTGCTAACTTTTAAGTATTTTAAATAAAACTCATTGGTCGTATACTGACTTGACTATACCTAAATTATCCCAGTTTCTTTTCACCTGCTTTTATTCTGCTCTGGCCTACATCTTCCTCCTTCAGAATTCCCAACTGTTAGTTTTAATTATGTTAGCAATCTGTTCACAATTACCTTTTCTTGTGAAGCCTTAGGCAAAAAAAAAAAAAAAAGGTTTTGGTTGTTTCTCTTTTCCCTGAAATTTTTCATTTTTATTCATGTTTAAGTAAGCAAGAAATAGAGAAGTGTAAAACTTGCATTATATTTATATGAATACTTCAGCAGAAGCTACATATGTGGCATTTTCTGTCACTCTGGAAAATACTTAAGGTCTTGAGCAGTCTTTCTTGTATCTTATCCACAGGTTGGTCTACAAATGTTTCCTCCTGATCTATAAACTGATTCATGCATTTGGAATTCTGGATTATCTAGCCATAATGTTTGGATTTCAGCACGTTTGGATTTATTTTCTAGGTCAGTATCTTCACATAAAATTGGGATTGGCAACTGCTATAATTTCCTATTCGATAGATTTTTCTTCTGCTCCAGGCGGATCTCTTCACCACCCACTTCAACATATGAAATCCCTTTTACGTTGTGTAGCTGTAAATTCTCTTACTTCTTGATTTTTATTACTGCATAGTTTTTCTGAAGTCTGATATTTAGTCATTTTACAACTTGTGCTTCTGGTGTGAAGAGAGGAGGGGAAAAACCTTAAACTTCATACATGTGTTCACTCATTTAATCCCCTAATTTAACTAAACTAATCCTCACTTCTTCATTTATGTACCTGGAGGTGATGAGACATAAAAAGGTTTGACATAAACAACAAAAATAGACAAGCATATTCATACCAAAACCACATTATAATTCTTTCTGAAAATTATGATTTCCCACTCTACTAGGCTATAATGTTGCTAGGGGGTTCTCCTGTTTTTATTTTGACTATTGCCAAAGACAATGCTGTACTGTTGACCCCACCAGAATTTTTGC